GGGGGGGGGGGAGGGTGGGCAGTTGGGTATTTTTTGGGTGGGTATGTGCCGCCCCGGACTCCAAATTGGCACCCTGTTCTAAAACAAAATTCCCCTAAAATTGATACCCCGTTCTAGGAATAGGCCAATTTTTTATACCCTGTTCTAGAATTCGCCCTAAAACTGATATCCCGTTCTAGAAATGGGCCAATTTTTTGTACTCCGTTCTAGAATGTTTGTAAATTGAAATAAGGCCCTGTTTTTTAAAAAGATATTTCTTTATTTGTTCGACTTTTACATCACATAAATGCTTCTTCATAATCAGCAACAATTTTAAGCAGAAGATAAAGCCGTGATCCACAATTTTTTATACCGCGTTTTAGAAGACGCCTCCGAAATGGATACCCCTTTCTAAATCAGGAGCTTCAAAATCATGACCCCGTTGGGCGACACATACCTGATAGGTAATGTATGGGAGTACCCCCCACCCTGGGGAAATCGGCCAAGCACATAGAGAGATTGTGTGTTGGCCTTGAAGGATGAAATGGCGACTCATGTTGTCATCAGAGCAGCAGCAACACTGCTTTCTCTTTATATGTCAATATCATAGACTGGAATGGTGGAGTTATCTGGCATATTTACTACTCAAGTCAATGCTTAAGACATTGAATAATCATGCACATGTTAGTATGTATGTTGTATGTGTTTGTTATTCTTAACCCTGTCACCTGTCGTTAGCCATGACCTGTTCACTTCGGTTCAAGGTTTTGCCATAAAGCAACCAAACACATTTTCAGATCACTCTCAAATTTCTGCTGGATCAAAACTGGTACAGACCTCTCAAATAATAATAACAGTTTTCAAGAGAATAACAACGTGAAGCTTCCACAACAGTATGTCTGGGCAGCAAAATTCACTGCTGCCTTTCATTCTAGTGATATTGTCTTTATTACATCTCTTCGAAAGTACAAACTTTGATTTAAGCAGTACAAATGTTGAAAATGCTACCAATCAATTCACGAATATTATGACTGAGGCAGCAAAACGTTCACTCAAATTAAGTAGCCAAAAGAAATCTAAAAGAAAGCCAAATACTACCAAATGGTTTGATTATGATTGCAAAACTTTAAGATCTTTAATATCATGTTCAAAATAAAACCTTTCAAACCAAAAAAACAACAATTTGTTGACTCTAAAGTAAATGACCTGATTAGTAACGAAAATAACCGCAAATTTTGGGATACTCTAAAGTCAATGAACGAAAACAACTTGTCTTATAATAATAACGAAAACCCGACCAATAAACTTTATGATCATTTTAAAACGCTACACTCAGCACCTGATCCTAAAACATTATCGACATTTCAAATACACATGTTAAACGATAAAAAGCGTTTGTAGGACAGCAACCATTTACAGTCGGCATTAGACAACCCAATACTCATTGAAGAGATTGATAAACAATTAAAAAACTCAAAAACAAGAAGGCTGCTGATTTGATGGAATAGGCAATGAAATGATTAAAACAAGCTCAAGCTTTACAAAATATCCGCTTGAGAAACCTTTTAATCTGATTCTACAATCTGGAACATTTCCTACATCATGGAGAAAGCAAATAATCACTGCCTTGCATAAATCTGGAAACAAAGATGACCCCTCAAATTACAGAGGTATTTGCATTAGTAGTTGTCTCGGCAAAGTCTTTTGTTCTATTTTAAATACGAGATTATTAAACTTTTCAAACAATCATAAAATACTTCATTGCTCCCAAATTGGCTTTTTGCCCGGACATCGTGCATCTGAGCATATCTTTAGTTTAAGAAGGTTAATAGACCAACATGTTTCCCACTCCACCAGAGGTAAACTTTATACTTGTTTTGTTGATTTTAAAAAGGCATTTGACTCAATTTGGCACCAAAGTTTACTATACAAACTGTTGAAATATAACATAGGTGGCACCTTTTACAAAAAAATTTCCAGCATGTATTCCCATTCAATATGTTGTGTAAAAGACAATTATACTCGATCAGAATTTTTCAACTATGATAAAGGTGTACGACAAGGTTGTATTCTGTCACCGCTTCTATTTAACCTTTATCTAAACGAACTACCCTTCATTCTAAATAACCATGCCAAAGATTCTATCTTACTACCAGATGTTTCTCACTTAAACTGTTTACTTTATGCTGATGATTTACTTCTAATATCTACCTCGGCAGAAGGTTTGCAACAAACTCTTGACAGACTATCAAAATGTTGTCAGGATTGGCTTATTAAGATTAATCCAACTAAAACCAAAGTTATTGTATTTTAGAAGAAAAGTAGAAAATCAGCAATAGGTAAACACAATTTTATGGTTAGCAATGAAAACATTGAAATCATCAATAATTATACCTATCTTGGACTGAAATTTTCTGCCAATGGAAATTTTACAAATCACAAGGAAAACTTAACAGAAAAAACAAAGAGATCCTTTTTGCCACTCATTGTTATCTAGATTTTCTAAAATTAACAATTCAGATCATCAACAAACTGTTCAATACACTATTTTTCCCAATTTTAACGTATTGCTCTGAAGTTTGGGGAATCTAAGATAAAAGTGATAATAGCCGCTGGGATAAAGACTCGATTGAGAAAATGCATATACATTTTTGTAAGATGTGTTTAGGTTTAAACAAACGTTCACCAAATGTTGCATCGAGAAATGAACTTGGTAGATTATCTCTAAATTTACAAATAACAATGAACATTTTCAAGTTTTGGATTCACCTTGAAAATCAACCCCCTGACAGCATCGATAAACTTTGCTTAAACATCATCGGATAAAATGGCCGAAGAAAATAACAACTTAATATTCATAAACAATCAGTTAACTTTAAAAACCCTTCTACTGAGAATAATTTGTCAAAACATCTGAAAAATCACCAGCTAAATTAGATAAGAACAAATAAAAAACTAAAATTCTACGCCATCTTTAAAAATGAAACAAATCACTCTGAATTCATCAATCATATCCGGAATCCTGAACATAGGCGTGTAGCTTCCAAATTTAGGATAGGAAATCATAATTTAAAAATAGAAACTGGAAGATTTATGATCCCCAAAACTCCTGAAGACCTTAGAATCTGTGATCATTGCAACCAAAATTCGGCTGAAAATGAACTACACCTATCATTTCACTGTGATCAATACAATGATTTGAGAGAGACTCTTTTTATTAAAATCAACAACCGAAATACATTATTTACAATTTACAATATCCATGATAAAGTCTGTTTTCTTTTTAACAATACTGATTCACATATGAGCAGGCTAGCTGCTAATTTCATCCTTCAAGCATTTGAAAGACGAAAGAAACATAGTTAATTCTACCGTTCCATCATATCTTCATTTCCTTAAATTTAGCTGTTTATTATTGTTATTTTAATCGGTAACACCTGTACAAAATGGTAATACTGAATAAACTTGTTGTTGTTGTTGTTGGCTTTAAACAGGCCAAGGATACCAGTAACAGTCCCCATCCCTCACTCAAAAAGGTCCCCTTTTCCGCCTCAATTGGGAGTCAAAGCATTGGTACTTGAGGGCTTTCACAAACAGGGATTCTTCTACCAAGAATGTGTTTTTAGAAAAGGAAGTTATTCCGTGTGAAAGCAATGAACTGTCACAGCAGCTGCCATCCCCTACTGATCCCGTACTCAGGAATTGGGATCTTCTGTCCTGAGTGGGTCAGTTTCGAGTGGTCCTGCTCTTGTTAGTGCAAAGGTGACACAAACAAAATCATTGAAAATTTGTTATGTCGGCACAAATAGATTAAATGCATAACTTCCATAAATGTAGAAGCACAGGCTGTACTAGCATTTCAAAAGAGGAGCTGGATCAATTAAAGATGACAAAAAGAAAGATAGTTTTCACCACGAGTGGTTGATCCGGAAAGAGACAAGAATTGTTCACATACCGCAATCTGGTGTCTTGTTTATGTACAAAATGAAGGTATATACTGCCTTCTTTGCGTAAACATAAAAGCAAGTCAGCCCAGAACAGAAGCGAGACATTCTCAAATGAGTCATCTACTAGGTCAAATAGAATGCAGTAACCAAACACATAAGCAGTGCTAAACACAAAACAACAGTTAAGAATGAGCGGCTAAATCAGGTTTCCCACTTTCGAAAACAGGTGGATGAAAAGGAAAGCACAAAGGTTTTAGTTGTTCAAGAAGCTTTTCACGCCATGTACTGGCTTGCCAAGGAGTCCATAGCCAACAGGAAGCTAAAATCCCTCCTCAAGCTGATGGAGCACTTAGGTCTTTAAGAGTTAAGGTATTTTACTCATAGATCTCAGGGGATCACTTCGAGAAATATTTTTAACAATAGGAAACACAGTGCAAGCTCAAATATGCGAGAAACTTCAGGAGCAGACCGTTTATGGCCTGTTGGTGGACAACGTGGCAGATATCAGCAATGAAGAGCAGATGCTTCCACTTGTTCAGTATTTTGATATGGAGTTGGGGAGACTTGAATGCAAGTTCTTATTTACAGCCAATGTTCTTGAAAAGGCCTCAAGCACTGAAGCAGCAACGTTACATGGTATCATCACTGACCATCTCAACATCTTGAAGATTCCTTTGAAGAACTTAAGGGCCCTTGCAACAGATGGGGCAAGTGTGATCACTGGCAAAACCAGAAGCCTAGCAGCACAGCTGAAAAAGGATGTCAAAAGCCTTGTGGCAGTTCCCCGTGTATGCCACAAGTTAGCTCTTGCTTCCACAGACACTGATGTGGACCTACAAGTGATAAAGAATATCCAGACAGAAGTCACACAGCTGTGGAAAATTTTTGAGAACTCTCCAAAAAACCTTGCAACCTACCTCAAAGTACAGGAGGAGATGAAAGAAGTAACCTTGGTGCCAAGGCAAGTACGAAAATTGCCAAAAGTTTAAAGAAGGATTGCAAAACACTGTAGTTATCTTATGACAGTGCTATAAAAGCAGTGTGTTCCGACCTCCCCTCCATTCTCCAAACATTATGCCAGTTGAAGACTGATCCATCTCGCTATGGTCTTTTTAAGAAACTGGTGAAAGCAGAGAAAGTGGGCACCATCTGTATCCTTCATGACATTCTTCCAGTCCTGAGTGATCTTATTAAAGTTTTCCAGTAAGGTACGATCAACTTTGGTCACATAAACCAGCAAGGACAAGCTTCTGGCACTTGGGACAAAGAAGGTTCCAATAAAGAGGCTACAAAGTGATTTAGCTGAAGGAGGATCCTTGGCTTTCACTGACATCAAGTACTGAAGTAGAGACAATCAGTATCTCGAAAGTCTATAAGAAAGAACGTGGATGCCTCGATTAAGAAGATTAGCAAACGACTCAGAGATGCAGCCCAAGTCCTAACAGCAATGCAGGTGTTTGACAAGACAGCCACACCACCTAAGGAGAATGGCAGTGACTTCACGGAGTATGGATAAGAGCACATTGATGTCCTCGCAGCTCACTACTTTGCAAGTGACGAGGTGAATCAATAACATCATTTCAGTTGTGTTGGCAGGCCTAAGAAGATGGGAAGGGGATGGTAGTTGCCCTTGTCAATTAGAGGAGCAGGGTTGATCCCAAACGCAGGGATATGTTGAGGTAAGAGGCATGATGGCTATCCTCATAATACAAAAGGCAATTCTTCAAGAAATAGATAAACCATCTAATACATTGTTTCTTATAGGGTGCTCAATCAGATGGAATCACACCACTATGGAGACTGGCTCTTTTGGGTGGCCGACACCTGTTCTTATGATGGTTTGAATGGTACGAAAAAATGATGAAATAAACTTTCCATAGCAGCAAGTTCCCATCGCAAAAACTCAACAAGATACAACCCCTGACAAAAGCCATTTCAGGCATTTTGTGTTTCAAAATAGTTACAACCCTTAAGAAGTCTTTTATATTGCCATCGCCAGGCTTTTCAGGGAGATTGGTTAGTAAAACATTTTGCATACCGGACATTTGATAGCCTTGGTTGTGGGGTCACAGTGCTCTTCCCTAACCCTAACCTCTAAAACCAACCGCAATAAGCACCTTCCACGGAGTTTTCTACTAAATTATGGGAGGGCATTGCAAAACCTATCAGACGATGCTGTCCTAAACAGAATACACCATTGGAATTGCGAGTGGCTGACAAGACCTAACATCGCCATGTCAGAGATGGCCACCACAATCAAAAAGAACTTAGAGTTGATTCAACTCTATCGGGGAACGATCTTCACAAATGGCTTCATTGATAAGATAGAGTCTGTTTTGGAACACATTGTGCCGGCACTATGGAGATTAGACAACAAGGACAACTCAGATCAAACGACGCATACCTAGGAAGACAGAGACAAACATGTGGACGAATCGATGCTGGATGCATTTTACTCGGTGGAACCCCTCTTCCTTCTGCCAGTAGACTCCATAGTACCGAACGTGCTATTACACGGCTGCCCGGAATATGCATCAAAAATGGAATGCAACAACAGCAACGAAAGCCACTGAATGGATCAAATTTTTTTTCTGGTCACATCAATGGCATGAGTCCAAATTTACTTGGACAAATTTCAGGTAAAAAAACAAAGCATTGTCAAGATCATTAATAATAATTACTTTTTTTGTTGAGGAGAATTTGTCTGCGATCAGGGACGTCTGTCACTTTTTTACATGCGACGGCTTTGTGATCTTCGCTGCAGTATACGTAAGGCCAACAGCGGGGTTTTGAAACGGCGCCAGGACGCATGTGGTAAATTCTTGCCTGCTGGCATATGTTCTGTTTTGACGTTTGTTGTTCTTGCTCATGTTTTGGCTGGTTTGTATCCACCAGATTCTTCCCGGTCCACAATCGAACTGCCTCTGAAAGTTTTGCAAGGTCCCAACTTTCCCATGCTGATTTTGTGTGCTGCTATTAAGTTAATGTTATTTATATACTCACTTGCTCCACAATGGTTTGGACTTTATGATGTTTCCTTATGTATATGGATGCTCCATCCACAGTTTTTCTAATTGTAGTCTCTATTTCGATGTCTGCATCCGAATGGGTCAAAAATACAGAAAAATTTCAAAAACCTGCTTTTTTTAGTGAAATTTCGCCAATTATGTAATGGCAGCTCATACATGTGTTTTATTTATTTATTTATTTATTTATTTATTTATTTATTTATTTATTTATTTAGTTTAATTACTCTTTCTTTTTGATAAGGTTTTGCTAAAACCACAATTTCAAACACACAATACTGCAAGGTTATGAGGTCGAGCACACAGAATTAAGTATAAGAGAAAATCACTGTCACACTGTCTATTGTCCCAGCAAATCTGCCTGTCAACAATGCCACAAGTGTCACCACACATCTATTTGTGATACACCCAAACAAGAAACTAATCAGCCAACACCTACGAAAGGGGTTACCTTGCCTACAAACCAAGTTGGAGAATGTTTGGAGAAGAGCAATTAATGTGTGCGCAAGAGGGCTGGTACAAGACTACCATGCCGTGGAAGGCCAATCACTCACCCCTGCCGTCAAACAAGGAAGGCAGCCTCACGTGACTTAAGAACCTAACCACAAAACTCCAACATGAAGATCTTACTGTCGAATACAATGGCATTATTCAGGAGCAGCTGGCTGAAGGAGTTATCAAAAAGGCAACCCCTGTTTCCAAGCTAGAAAAGGAGTTCTACATCCCTCACAAGTGCGTAATTTGCAAGTCCGCCGGAGCAGCGATGTACTTGGTCCTACACCAAGAAGATGGAATCACACAAACCATTGTTGCAGCAAAAGCAAGATTAGCCAAAAGAAACCTTACCATCCCAAGGTCACTAACAGACTTACCTGAGCCCAAGGTCCACGGTTGGTTCAACAGCACCGTCACCCTCCACTGAATTCTAGGAAATGGTCTGAACCGACAGTTCATCGTCAACCGCATGCAGAAGATAAAACAACACCCACAGATTCAGTGGAGACTCGGCACTCTAGCGACAACCCAGTAGACTTAGCGAGCCAAGGAGGGCAGGTTACTAATGCAGAGCTCTGGTGAAATGGCCCAGCATGGCTGCGTCATCCTGAGAATTGGCCAGAGAACCCAGTCACAGTAAAAATTCCAGCTTCTGAAGAAGAGGTGAAAGTAATCAGAGAAGTGCTTAGCCTAGCAAATGACAACCTAAACAAGAACAAAACGTGTTTGACTAACTTCCTGAACGTCATGATCTCCATCAAACTCTACACATCCAAGCTTGGGTGCGACATTTCACAAGAGTTGAAGAATTGGTGGGTAAGACGGGTCCAGTCCCAAGATGCACAAAAGCCTCACTTTGAACAGACCAGGCGTGAACTCAACCTCGTTCCAAAGACTAACAGAGTGCTCCAATGTCATGGCAGAATTCAAGGACAATACTCAGTCTACTTGCCAGCTGGTAGCCTATTTACAAGAAAGCTTGTACAGCAGACTCATGCCGAGACCTTACATGGAGGTGTGTCCCTGACCATGGCAGCAATCCATGAAGAATACTGGATTCCAACTCTGAGACAGCTATTTAAGTCTATGCGATCCGCACGTTGGGGCCGTAAACGTTTTAGAGCTTTACCTTTAACAGTACCACCCCCTACCCACAGACCGTATCCATGGCAAGGCTGCCTTTGAAGTCATCAGGACCGACTTCGTCAGACCAATCTACTACAGATTGAGCCAGAAACGAGAAAGGAAAGCATACCTGGTGATATTCTCTTGCAGTCTGTCAAAAGCAGTACACTTAGAGCTGGTTCCCAACCTGGAAACTAGTACGTTCCTGACATGTCTCAAATGCCTCATAGCCAGACAAGGACGTCCAGCTGTCATTTACTCTGATAATAGTAGTATGTTTGTCAAAGCTGCCAAGTGGTTGAAGCAAGTACGAAGCAAGCAAGGACTCCTGGAGTCTCACGACATACAGTGGAAATTCGACCTCAGTCACGCCCCTTGGTGGGGCGGCCAATTTGAACGCCTGATCAGAATTGTGAACACAGCAATGTAAAAGGGCATAGCGGGAGCTACACTGTCCTGGAGCGAATTGAATGAAGTTATCATAGACATAGAGACTCAAGTCAATCATCGCCCACTTGGTTACATTGAAGACGATGTGAGCTGCCCATCCTGACGCCAGCTAGCCTTGTGTTCCAAAGAACCAACCAGCTTCCTGAGGAGCAGGCCTGGAGAATTCAAGACCCAAACGTGCACAGACAAGCTAAATATTTGCAGACCTGCAAAGACCACATGTGGAACCGATAGCAATGTGAGTGCCTAACCACCCAGAGAGAGTGTCACAACCTTGAACACAAAATGGCAAAGTATCGAGTCAGAGTTGGCAACACCGTGCTAGTATGATCAGACAGCACGAATCCAGGGAAGTGGCCACTAGGTATTGTCAAGAAGACCTACCCAGGACGTGACGGCCACATCCATGAGTGCAGCTGAGTAACAGTAAGGGAGTTATAGAGCATCCTGTTCAGCACCTGTACCCGCTGGAGTTGCAGCGTGAACCCACAGTGCCAGCAGGAGCAGACCAGTGGTTGTACCATGACGCGCCAATTTTCAGACCGAGAAGAGCCGCTGTGGCTGTGGCAGCTGCCAAAATAAAGGAGATTGCTTCAAATGAAGAAATTGAACGATATTAAACCTGTACTGAGTGATTATTAGCGAAGTTTTCGATCTAGCCTTTGATTGTTTTCAGAACTGTAAAAATAGTTGTTTCAGTCTCTTAAGTATTGAATGCACCCTTGTATGCCTTGTATGCAATGCTGCATGGGGGAGTGTGTCGGAGACTTCATGTTCCGTGACAGTACAGTGACATGTTATATTAGGTCTAACCTAGCCTGCGAGTAAGCTCTCCTATTTGGGCAAACGAAGCGAGCCTCGAGAGAACGCGCGAGCGAGGGGCCGAGAAGGAGAGCTTGCAACCATGTCTCATAAATTTTCATTTCCACCCCTGAAATCCCGGGACTCTGCAAAACGTGAAAACTGTCACCGCTCACATGCCGAACATTAAAAAAGTGACAACCGCCTGTTAAGTAAGTTTAGACAGCCGAGGGCGCGTAAAATTATTTATTTATAAATCGCTTTTTTAACAGCATCAAAGCAATGTTTTTAATCACTTATATGTTTTTTTTTTCACCAGGACATTCGAACTTCAACGTGTCAGCTCGGATAAGAACTCACTACTTTGATTCTCATTTCGTTTACTTTTGAAAAGTCGTCCATACTGCAGTGTAGAAGACTACTCCCCATCGCAATCACCAACAAAAACATCATATATTTGTCCGTCTGGAACTGGAGAATAGCGTTTTCCTGCACTTGGTTCTCTTAAGGTTTACTCCAGTTGCTTCCAACTCTTTCTCTTTTCCTTCTTTACGATCAAGCTACACAGCTACACTGTCAAGTACACGTTTCTGAATTTTTCTACCCAGTAGAATTCAAT